TTTTGTTTGAGGCACGAGTTGTCCAATCGTTTAGTGCACCGCTGTCGGTTTTGCTGGGTCCCATATTCCTGCTTTGGTAAAACAAATCCTAGATTCACAACTACCGATTTTGCTTCTCAGTCATCAGTACCATGTTATTGAGCTTTATCAAATGGGAAAACTTCCAAGACTTGTATCACCTTGGGGTTTCGGAACACATTGTGCCAACACACCTCCAAATAACTGAAATAATGGTCAACGTTAAACTCAACTCACTCACAGACACTACGTTGTTTTAGTTGTGACATCGACGACCTAGGAATGGATGTGACGTACCTGTTGGTGGCGTTTTTCTGTGTGTCAGGCCTACGAGAAGGTACGTCCATGTTGATTTAAAATGGGTTATCACGTGAAAAACAGAAAACAAATATAAAAATAGAAATGTTGTACAACTGGAGCATTATGAAAACGTACTTTTTTGTATGTCCAAAAGCAGTTATTTGTTACATAAACAATAAAGCTCTTTTTAGAAAAATAATCAATAAAACAAAATACGTGTCAACATGTTTCACTTATCACATATTCATAAGGAAATATAATAATACTAGCTTCACTGCATAGTTTCTGTGGTGGCACAGTATTATTCAGACAACACTCTGTGGTATAATGTCACTACTTCCAGTGCTCCTGGCTCCATGCTGTGACCACTGTGAGGGCCAACCTACAGACGCTGACTGTCAAATATGCAGGAATAGAACCAGGACCTGTTCTGAACCTTTACAGGTTGGTACAGTTTAACGTTCGATTTCTGTTTCCTTACAATAGAGATGACTGCTTAACAGCATTGTCGCAAAACAGGACATATGTGTTGCAGTACAAGGCTTATTGGTGAACATGTATTTCTTACATGTAAAATAATTTCGCTTACTGCATTCGACTAATTTGTAAAAGGTTCTTTCTATTCTTTACGAAATATTTAGTGTTTGACAAATTAGGGAACAAAATCGTGAAATCAATTTTCAGTAACCATTACCATAGTCAAGAGTGACTAATGACATAGCTGCATCAATCATTCACTCACAGGCCTACAGATCTCTGAGTGAGTGACTAATGCCATAGCTGCATCAATCATTCACTCATAGGCCTACATATCTCTGAGTGAGTGACTAATGACATAGCTGTATCAATCATTCACTCACAGGCCTACATATCTCTGAGTGAGTGACTAATGACACAGCTGCATCAATCATTCACTCACAGGCCTATAGATCTCTGAGTGAGTGAGTTTAGTTTTACGCCGCACTCAGCAATATTCCAGCTATATGACGGCGGACAGATCTCTGAAACATATTCGGGTTGATGTAAACATAGCAAAAGCCCTCCAATTAAACTACATTTTCATCTGGATGTTCTTGTAAAACGAGTGTAAACAAGTTCATACCAAAGTGTACGCATTGGGCTACGAGCACAACAATGTCTTGTCACCGAACCAAAATCTTTATTCATATGTGAAGAGACTGTTGCCTCGATTTTGATATTTTATTTATTTTCATCCTCAAGTTTTGAAAAAAATGTATTTCTCTTCCTCTTACAACAGACAACCCCGGGTGAAATGGTACAGCCTTACTTGTGTCCAAACCGTAGTGTTTGTCTACAGTGTCGGGAGGCACTTAGCTATGGAAAGAAGTGTGACAAACGTTGTCCTCCAAACTGCAAAGGTGGATGCGCCAAAGTGACTGGTATTTGCACAACGTGTGCATCGGGATTTAGAGGAGCCAAATGTGAAACACCTTGCAGGCCAGGTTGTGAGGTATGTCCTCGTTACACGGACGGATGTTTCACGTGTTTGTCTGATCGCTATTACGGCAAGGACTGCAGGTTTCCTTGTCCACAGAACTGTCTTCAATGCAAGAAAGCCACAGGAGACTGTATTGAGTGTGTGCCTGGATACAGCGGGAAACAGTGTAAGTGTTACTTTATACATCCGTATTTACTGTACTCAGCTGCATGTGATTCCAGTCTATACGTTCTGAGATAAATACATGGTATCCATAAACATTTCTGTCTTTTACGTATTTGAGGAGCACTGGCTTGGGTGAAAATGTATTAATCCATTGGGATTTCAACATTTGAACGGTAGAAATTTCTACATCATATTTATATCTATTTGATTCAGATTCAAAGTGTATGTGTTCAAATCAATGAAATTCAGATATGTATGCAATAATTTTAACCTTACATTTCAGACCGGAGACGAACCCTGCAACTGGCAGTCGGAATACGTCAACCATGGACGTGAGGGCGAGACATGGAACGCTGAATAATGAATCTAGGGGTTACACGGTCAACTGCATCTGTACAAACTGGAGACATGGGTTGAGCATGTAATACAATGAGGTATCACCCCAAACCAAGTATCCCGAAGAAACTATGTGAAGATGGTCGGTTTCATCCATTAAAGAGTCCAACAGAACGAGCTGATTCAGGAGATGCAGATAATCATCCTATGGCTGCCCAATTTGGAAACAGCAAGATGGATGGAGATGCATGGCCTGCTGATTTGGACTGTTTGTCTTAAGATCATGCGATTTCCAATTCAAGCGGTGGTTTACATCTGTTCAAGGTGGATTCAAACAATAGATTTGGACATGGTCAACTGTGAAAATTCTAAAAGTGTGCCAATGCCTGTAGATAAACAAATTAACAGCAATAGGTTCAGGCATATCCCATGTTGAGAAAAGCGTTGATGTGATATGAACTGATATTGCCCACGGTGTGAATACTCAACTCTTGTTCTGTTTTGATGATTTCTGTTGTGTTTTAGCTTGACACACTAAAAAGGATATGTGATTGCTCTATTACAATAATTTTACTGTGTTGAGAACTGTGTGCTTAAGCCGGACAAACTGGAAAATGATTCAAACTGGAGGACGCCCCACTGTGTACAAATGTACAATGTACAATGTGGTATTAGGTAGCTTCTGTGAGATAACTATTACAAGATTTATTATGATTATAACACATCTTCTTACAGTGCAGACGCTTGGCGTGAATGACTATCCGAGCAGAAGTTTGCTGAACGCTGTGTCGCCCCGTTGTAGATTAGCTTAATATTACAGTCTCGCAAGGAAAGGTTCCCGAACCGGACATGCAGTCGTGTGTACGGGAGCGACGCTTCCCCTTTCGCTGTCCAAGCTGTCCAGCACACAGGCCCTCGTGTCGTGCGAGGATTAAACATTAATAACAATATTTTTTTAGATGACCTCCGACTCGAGTCGGGGGGTCATCTCGAAATGTCTTTCTTCTTTTTCTTAAATCTTTAATCCTCGCAAAGACACGAGGACATGTGTCTAGCATTGCATACATAAGCTTCTAACATAACGAGTGGTTTGATCCGATAACTGTTACACTACTCAGACTGGGACAACTTCCACCTATGTGTAGGTATATTAATATCAGAGTGCGGTTGTACAATGGGATCTTAGGGCTAAGGTGATCGTAACGCTCATACCGACAATCGTAGTGGTTATGTCGTTGTGTACCACAGCACTCTGGACTGCTGTATAGTAGAACTGACAAGTTAAAAATCAGGGTCTCCTTTCACGAAGCAACCTTTACTAAGGTTAACCTTAACTCCCATTCTTTAACATTGCACTAAGGTTACCTTAGTGACTTACGGTCACCTTAGTCCTTTGTGAAAGGAGGCCCAGAGCTGCTAACCTTTGAGCATTAGCGTGTTTAGGTGTATTCAGGTTGTGAGTCCATGCTAAATGTACTTACAGTTCATATATGGAGGCATTATGGTCTCAAAACATAACTCATGTGTTGATGGTGTATGTAGTTTGTTTTCTATTAAGACAGAAGTACTAAATTTGAAGTGAATATGGCTTACTTAGAAAAAGCGATTTTCATAAATATTTAGTTGACTTCCAATCCTTGGTCATTAACACGTTAGAAACAGAACTCACCTCGATCCCATTTTTTTTAAAGTGTTTACATCAGAAATACCTAACTAATACTTAATGAGTCAGATGAACTTCAACATATCAGGTGACACATATTAACGTATTTCCCCTAGTAAGATTTACAGCATCCAGCATATCAAATTGCAGGACATGCAAGTATCGGGTTTCACAAAATATGACTGACTGACTGAGTTTGGTTTTACGCCGCTTTTAGCAATATTCCAGCAACATCACGGCGGGGGACACCAGAAATGAGCTTCACACATTGTACCCATGTGGGGATTCGAACGCGGTTCTTCGGCGTGACGAGCCAACGCTCACAAAATATGAAGTACTCCCGGGAATGTTTACAATACATTCTTTCGAATAGGTCTAATATACTTCCCACCCGTGAAGATCCGGGTTAGAATTGATCTTCAGTGATCCTTGCTTGTCGTAAGAGGCGACTAAGGGGATTGTGTGGTCAGACTCGCTGACTTGGTTGACATGTCATCGCGTCCCAATTGCGTAGATCGATGCTCATGCTGTTGCTCATTGGGTTGGTTGGTCCAGACCAGATTATTTACAAACCGCCGCCATATAGCTGGAGTATTGGCAAGTGCAGCGTAAAACTATACTCACCCACTCACTAATACACTTCCATACCCCTTTTGCGTTGTTCAAAATGTGCAGATCGCAAAGTGGCACAATCACAAACACAGACACTTTCACAGTGATTATCTTACAGTGTACACCAGCACACACGCGTGAAGAAATAGATAATTGTGTATTGGACAATGTACACTGGGACGGGAATAGGTTTTACATGATATATACATTTATACTATGCATTTTACACTTTAGGAACTGTATAAAAGACATTCCTCGCTAAGTACAATTCTTCACTGTGTGCAGGTCTACTATTTACACAAATAATCAAACACCGGTCACCTTGAGCAATGTAATGTGCAGTTGTCACGGATTGGTAACCTGAGTCAGCCAGGTGTAGTGTTACACCATTTGTAGTCCCTGTGAACACTCACTGCGTGAATCCTACCTGAAGAATCACAGCACAAATTCCTTAAGGTGGTGAGTTATATATTTAGATATCTTCTTCATGTTTCCTTTTGGTTTCAGTCTCAGTGAACCTCAGTATGGGATGATTTGTAATATTCAGGTATTACATACATACATACATACATACATACATATTCATACATTCATACATACATACATACAATACATACATACATACATACAACATACATACATATACATACATACATACATACATACATACGTACGTACGTACGTACGTACGTACGTACGTATACATACATACATACATATACATACATACATACATACATACATACATACATACATACGTACGTACGTACGTACATACATACATACATACATATTCATACATTCATACATACATACATACAAACACACACATACATACATACATACATACATACTGAGGTATCGTGTGCGTGTCTGTATGTAGTGTATGGAAGTCGATCCATCGTATTACTATGAACGTTGTTTGTTGATAGGATGATCATAGTCATTAGTGACGTCACAAGTTTATACATATGAGGCGTCACAAGTTTATACACATGAACTTTTGGACAGGTATGATAATGAAGAATACATTTCTTGAAATGGCTTTGGTGGAAATAGGAGAATTTAATGAACATCTATGAGCGTGGGGCATTGTCCGTACATTATTTACCATCTATACTATTTATGCTATATCCGAAATTTCCTCCTCGCTAAATGGGTCTTTACGCTTGGAATTTTGAAGAAATGACACTTGGTACATTTTTGGCATGGACTGGGACATCCCCACGAAAAAATCTGCCATCTCAAGTCAACCACACACCGAAAATAACGGAAAAATCACCCCATTGTTATGTAGATGAAAGCATGTGATAACAAAGGGACCACTGTGACGTCACTGCCCGAGCTCTGCCGAGGCTGGGATAACGATATGCATACCCGCAGGTTGTTGGATTAGTGCAGTTCTTCGGTGCTTTTTAGATTAACAATAAAATCACTTATGACTTTTCTTAAAATTGTAAATAAGTATACTTTCTTTTGTCCATTTGAAGATATGCATTTGAACAAAATATCACCAGAGCCCACAGTGACGCTGACCGACCAGACAATTTGTTATGAATGCAGTGTAGGATAAGTATGTAGTTAAATGTAATTCTTTGAACTATGACACCATAGCGACAAAGGAATACAGAAAAGGCGTTTCGAAAGTTTTCCTAACATACTGACAGGGCTTTGAGTAACTGACTGGTGTAAGTAGGCGGGATTACAAATTGATCACATGCTGAGTATCCTGCATAACAAGAATCACGATGTAATTACAACTGGAGACTATATGCACATATCTTCGTCTCCATCCCAGCAACCGTTACATAATCATGTCGACATTCTCATTGAGTCTGTACCTACACTAGTTTTCTATTACTGGTGCCATCAAGTGCAACTAAGCAACGGCTTCTATTAAATTAATTTTAAGATATCATGTTCGTAATTCGGTCTTGCTTACATCATAACAAGAGTATTAGAATTTGATGGTGTCGGCGCATTTAGCACGGGTGCACATCCGCACATTTCCACACATTATACCTCCATTAAGACAAAATACCATTTATTATCGATTACGATTATAACAATAACATCTACAGAGACTCCATGACCAAGGCGTAGACATTCAATCATTGATAGAAGATAACTGGACACAGCAGTACGACATCGGTGACATGCATGATTCAGGGCTATACTACAACACATCGAGTCACTCAGTCGGGAAACAATGTTCCTAGAAACAAACGTCCCAAAACAGCCGTCTATAAACATGTCGGGAAGTCACGGAATCACTTTCACTTGATGTTCAGTTTCAGTTGATGCTTTATCAAGATGGAAATGGCGAGAACCCCGCTGTTGGTACTGTGTAAGTATTAGGGACTAACTTAATCCATTTAAGTGTCATTAAAGTAATTAATGAAATAATTCAACACGGTTTGAAAGGATTTATACAAACAGGACAAGCCTATTCTTGTGTTAGGATAGGATGGTATGACAGGGTATAATGTGCACACAGACTGCAGTATATCTGGACAGTGAGCCGCCATGAAAAACATCCGAAATATCACGCTTGGGCGAATTAAGGTGATTCTAAAAAAACAACAAATCTTATATAATGTTACAATATTTTAAATACGACATTCGAATTAAAACAATACAAAGACGTATACTTTGTTAAGTATGAAAATGGTTTGCACGTCGATCGCGCGTAAAATGAGTTCCATAATATGTTGTCGCATTACGTATACGCATATAAATGTAAATTAATAATCTCTAAATTAATCCAGGCATTAAACCAATGTGAACAATATCAGTACATCTGTTTCAGTATTCTTCATGCACCAGTCATCAGCTGAGACCCACTGTTTCTGGTCATCATACGACGCGTACGGTCGTTGTATTGACTGTCACAGAGGCTGGTATGGGGGCTACTGCAGCTACAAATGTCCCGGCAACTGCGACATCGGCGGCTGTCACAGGGACACCGGGATATGAGTACAGTGTGACGCCGGCTACCACGCCACCAACTGTACAGTAACTTGTCCCCCCAACTGTAGATACAGTCACGGTGACAAGCCATACTGTAGCCGGGAGACAGGGCACTGTCTGGCAAACTGCATGGAAGGCTGGTGGGGAAAGAAGTGTGAACACAGATGCAGTGATGGATGTGAAGACAACTCCTGCTTCTTCTGGGACGGGTCGTGTGCCAGAGGATGCGGGGATGGTTGGGCCGGTGACAGTTGTGACACCAGGTGTCCAGGGGGGTGTCATGGTAACACATGTGAGAGGTACGGCAGCCATAAGTGCACACAAGGATGTACACCCGGTGTTCACGGATATCACTGTGACAAGCAGTGTAACACTCACTGTAGACATCAGGACTGTTTCTATGACCACGGTATGAAGTCTACAGTCTGTAGACAGGGCTGTGTGTATGGCTGGATGTCCCTCGACTGCAAGATGAGGTGTCCCAGTAACTGTGAGGCATGTTCTCAAGAGACTGGGGAATGTTCCAGATGCAAGCAAGGTTACTAGGGATCTGACTGCACTAGACCATGTAGTGACACGTGTTCAAACAAGACATGTGACAGAGGTGATGGGCGATGCTCTGGTTGTATACCTGGTTACTATGGAAACACCTGTGATACGGGTTGTGGGGCTGACTGTATGAGATGTCTCCAGGTAGACGACGGTTGTGGATGTAGGGAGGAATGCCACACGATGAGCCTGCAGCACCATCAGCAGGGAGGAGCATGTGATGATGTACACCGAGGAGGGAAATGTAAGCAAACAAAATTTAATACTGGAGATACAGACACGTCCTCAGATATGTCCATAGATATGTGTTGTTAAAAAATGATGCCACAAAGGCATGTGCTACTATAAAATGCATTTTTGATACATGGCACAAAATGTAAATATGAACATCACGGGTTTTTTTAGTCGCAATTTGTAAAATATTCAAGCAGGTTTTATGTCAGTATGTGATTAATACAGTGTTTTGTAATCCTTCTGTCCACATTACCTTATCCTTTGACGAGATCAGTCCTCCTTCGTCTACCTGACATGCGTCATATGACTGTCTGCAAGGGAATACATTTTCAAAGTAGTATATAACTCACTCACGCCTGATTGGCAATTTGTATTAGTACTTCTTGATATTTGATTTCTCTTGCAGACAAAACGAACGGATCACAGAGATGTGAAGTTGAAGACATACTGTTTACATTATCTGTAGGTTTGCTGGTTCGACATCGACTTCTTCAAGCCTTGAACTTGATATAACCTTGATATTATTCCTTGTGTTATATTTTGGTACATTTAAACACTACAGTGAGAATTAACTACTCCATACCGTCGTATATTTAATGAATAATTAGAACCATTTGTTGACATTACGTTAATTCTTGCCTTAGAAATATAATGGATCAAGAAACTAATTTTCATAAACAATATACATCAAACACAGCTGTTGTAAACAAAACAAGTGAAGTGCTCAACACAGGGAACGTCAGTTACATTACATGCATTATCAAGTGGCGAGGTAGCACATTGTGATATCGCAGTGTAATATACAGTAATAAAACTGTTCGTAGTGTTTGCTTATATGAGACACTTATTGGTGTATTTAAACTGCTTATGTTATATATGACTTGTATGTGGAGTGGGTGGGCTATGTTTGTTGGTCACACACGTCATGTATTCCACTTGATCAAACACTTACATAGTTCTCCTGTTAACCTTTGACCGATTTCGAAACGTGGAAGATGAATGACAGAAGAGCTCGGATCACCATTGTCTGTCATGTTCTATTCAAGAACATACACTGAATGATGACACCGTGGTCAACGTCTTTTGAACACTTACCACGTTGTTCCTGTTTCCTGGTGACAGAAAAAATGACAGAACATTCCACACTTTAAAGGCTCATTTGGTCAATGCAAAGACGTGTAGAAGCTTGCATCTGTGCTCATGGTGGTCATACTGGACACTGCTTCACTGTCCAAAACTGACTTGAACCTTAATGTTAACATTTTGCTCCATCAATGCAGCTGCACGACTGTTTCGCGGGTACATGCTGTTGATGATTTGTAAGTCTATTATTGCTCAATACCATTTCATTTCATTTTGTTAATCGTGTGTACATATGTTTCACCTTTCTATTGCATCATTCCATGATTTGTAATTTCAATAAATGAAAATGTAATGAGACTACACATTTGCATTGCTTAACTTTTTGTGAGGAGTATATATACACGATGGGCAACCTGCCTGAATGATGTTCTCCTGCTGGTTGCATTAAATCCCATTAAGGTAAAAGTACCTCGTGTCGGTAACTGACAACACTACATATCAGTCAGTGAGTAGAAACAGACAAGTGAAACACGTTCGTGGTCGTCACTGAGTTATTTCCCTTGTATTGCAGGTGGCAGCTTTTTGATAACAAGACGTGTGCGTCCTTGTAGGGTATCTTGTGTGATTGGATAAACGCGTTTGTCTCCTTGGAGATAAATATTAGCTTGAAACATGAGTTTCATATTTTATTTGAATCATGTGTTAATTTACGTACAATTGTTCTTGAAATACACACGCGCGCAACACACATGCACAAACACATACATATATTCCATTGCGTTAGACAATGAATTACACCTGAAAAATATGAAATATTGCATGACTAGTTTAACTGAATGCATTATGAATGGAATATTCCGAAGGTCAGCCATCGTGACAATGGGAATGTATTCAGGGCAAAATTAAAACTTCGGAATGTATGAGCCATCTACAAAATGAATAAAAATATGAATATTCAATAAGTCCTTGAAAGCTCTCAAATGAAACATTTGAACATTGCGAGGATATATTTCGTGTTCATAAAAAAACCCAAAAAACAAATAACAAAACCGAAAAAGGTATGCAAAAAACGGCCCTGTGTGTTTTAGAATTTTTCACCTAGTTGTGAATGTTTTTTGTAGTTTAACGCCGCTTTCAACGGAGCCAATCCAATGGCTGATAGTATGAACAACTATCAACATCGGAGTGAAATGATACGCATTCAACCACGTCGCATTGTGTGCCTGTTTATAAGAAGGGAATCATTTCGTTATATAACAATCACTTATATCATGTCTTTGACATACATGTTGTATACAACACACACATGTCAATAAGATGGCGGAGTTGTTTCCCCTTCATTACACAGAGCTAGGAAATTACGAGATTGCTCAGCTGATGGTGACACGAAGTAACGCATAGTCCAGGAAGTATTGTCCGATTTCACAACAGTTTACTTATTAACAGCCTTGTGTTTAGATGGTATCGTCAATACTCATTGTGAAAATATATTTTGTAATTAAATATGGGCTGTGCTCACATCCATTTTGTTATTCATTTATTCATATTCGGGATAAAATAATCCTTCTTGCACATTAATATTAAGATGTTTCAAAACCAGTTATATTACAACGTGTTAGTGACAGAGGGGAGGAGAGGTGAAAGTCTCAACAAGGAACACATGACCACGTTGACGAAAGCATGTAAGCTTGGGGTGATATCAACCCAAGGTTCATAATACACACTAGCTACCAGTGACCTGTTTTGATTGGAACAAGCAGATTCTATGTCTTTCTGAAATACGTCGCTATGATTCCACTAGATGCGAAGAAATGACCAGCGAGATGAAGTTATCAAGAACGTTAACACGTAGAACATACTGTCCAAGGGGATTTGAACGCACCATCACAGATACATGATGCGTATTAGTCAAATACATAACTACATGCATTTGTTACGAGTTTTTTTGTATATTTGTGAGATAGGTAAGGTTCTTTTGTAACCCTAATACTACACTAGTAACACACACTTACGACAGCTGTAGAGCTAGAGGTATTTCGACAAGGACACCCCGGACTGTGTCTATGACAGTATGAAGTCTACAGACTTGGTTGTGTGGATGGACGTCTGTCGACTATAAGCAGATATGCCTGGTAACTGTGTGACAAGTTCAGGATAATAGTCGAATGTTTAGAACAACGTCATAATTGTGTACAGTGTTCAGTGTCAGTACAGACAGAACATGTCATCAAATGAATGTCATTCAACAGTATTTGTATACATTTAAATAGGCAAAAGGATATAGAAGGAAGCATTAGTCTTAGTGACGCACTATATATACTTATATGTATTACTCTATACTATACTACCCATCAAAAGTTTAGACTCGCTTAAATCAGTCACTATAAGTTATGTATGTACATATGGTTACAGGGGCGGTGGGGTAGCCTAGTGGTTAAGGCGTTCGCTCGTCACGCCGAAGGCCCGGGTTCGATTCCCCACATGGGCACAATGTGTTAAGTCCATTTCTGGTGTCCCCCGCCGTGATATTGCTGGAATATTGCTAAAAGCGGCGTAAAACTAAACTCACTCACTCACATATGGTTACAACGAAGATGAATTTCTCCACTAACTTGGGGGAAACATCTGCAAACCTTATGTAGATTAATTGCACGAGGATCATGCATCAAATTGCTGAAAAGCATGTGCAAATATCGTTCATGTGAACAGCTGCGTTTTGGTGTAAATTTTTGATAAAAAACCGCCATTTTTCACCGAGTTTCATCATTTACTGAACAGATGCCAATAAACTTTTCAACGTCACGAATTTGCAATTGTTTTACAATACATCAGCTCATTTATAAACAGTACCTTTAAACTGTATGGATTATTTTACAAAATCCTGTTCAGAACAGTTGACTGAAGTAAGTGGCTACATTTACGCTATTTAGTCTAAACTTTTGATTGGGAGTATATTTGAGACCGCTTCTTAGTGTCCTCGAACCGTGAAGATACGGTTAGAATTGGTCTTCAGCAACCCATGTTTGTCGTAAGAGGCGACTAATGGGATCGGGTGGTCAGGCTCGCTGACTTGGTTGACACATGTCGTCGTATCCTAATTGTATAGATCGATGCTCATGCTGTTAATCACAGGCTTGTCCGATCCAGACTCGATTATTTACAGACTACTTCCATATAGCTGGAATACTGTTGAGTGTGGCTTTAAACAATAAGCGAACCAAATCGTTGCGTCC